TCCATATTATATAGACACATGTATCACCTAAGGGAATATATTGTAATTTCATCATTACTGAACATATAAAATGTTGTTAATGTACCAAGTTACATGCACAATCCAATCGGCTTGGAGTCATTGTGTTTGTGTGAGGACTTCTATTAATCCCAAACGATTATGTAACAAGGCTAAATGCCTAGACATACTAGGTTGGAAATGAAGTTTTTAAACTCTAAGCCATAAGATGGTAGTAGCAAATGGGAAGCTATGTAGAAGTAAAGTGATCATAAATTTTTGAATCTGAAAAATGAAATCTTTGGAAAATAGTGCAGTTTACAAAAATATTGCAGTAGATTTCGTACGAAACGCATAATCATATGAATTTTTAAAATAGATCGAAGGTATAAGGCTGCACATGTACTGGAGTAAGATTACTGTTGATTACCTAGTACATAATTGGCTCTTGCTTTTTATATTTCGATGAATTTCGGTTTAGTTATAAAAGCCTAAACATCATCTAGATCGGCTATCACACAGTAGCTAAGTTGGCAACAAATTCAATAAGCTCACTTAATTTAACTGATTATCAAATCATATACGCACTAGTGACTAGCTTCATGATATCTTCATGGATTTCTAGTGAGAAGACGTGATCAAAGGAGTTTAAGTGGTGTCAAGCAGAAGACAATAATCCACCGCAAGCAATGAAGGAAGCTTGAGCAAAATCATGGATTTATTGAAGTCAGATATTAGTCTCGTTGGATGCCTACCTAATGATTAACAGGTTAAGCGTTTGCGCGTGAGGTCGGAGGTCCTAAGTTCTTGTGTGCTGGGGTCGTAGGTGCACACCGTTGAAGAATCCCATACCAGGACGAAACTGTCGTCCAGTGCTTCCAAGTTTCTAATGGCGGTCTAGCTAGGATCAGTTCTTGATTTCTTGTTAACACACAATGCAATTGAGAGGCGAGAAACAGATACCCTCATTATCGATGTTTGGACATACGATTCGATATTTAAAAAATATGGTTTGGCAAAATTGACCATTTTGGTTGAATCTTATCAGAATATGTGCTCTCCAAATGCTATAAAATAGCCTACAAGAAAATATTTTGATTTGGAAAAGGTGGTTTAAAACTACGGATCATGACGCAGTTTTCAAGTGATTGCGAAATGAACATACTCATTAAAAAATGCGAATATTGGATGCAGCGTTTACGAAGAAAAAGTTTAAATGCAATACTAGTAAAACCGCTGCACACGGTTTGTATTCTTATACATTTTAATATTCTGTTAGATTTAAAAATTACCACAAACCACTAAAAATCATACATAACCTTTTTGAATGAACTATTCTCATAATTAATACTAAAGAACAGTACCTATTACAAATCGTTTGTTTTGTTCAAAATTAATAGTATATGCTGTTTCATAATGATGATTACTAGATTTAAGTCCTAAGAATTCCGAAATTATAACATACGTCTCCATGTAGTTATCGCTAACGAACCCACCTACATAGGCGATGAATTGTTTTGAGACAATCAATGATATATATTTTTTATCATTTGATAAACGTTAAAGTATTTTTCGTTTGATGACGAGAACCAAGAACTGCTATCCATAGTACGGTGTAGTTAAAAATATAACGGGCACTTACCTAACTAAAATAGTAATTCCGTGCTAGGGGAAATTCTGTTTGTGTTGTCTAAGTGTTGATATGTTTTCTGTTTTGACAAATTTAAAAAGTTTAAACTGTAATCAGTTCTAAATACTACACAGCCATCCTCCATTTTGTGTTCAGTGGCTATCTTTATCATGCCAAACATGGATTTTTCAACGGTTGTCTAATTTGGATCGGTTTTAGATTTTACTAAAATTCAACAAGACCCACGATTTTTAACTAATGATCCCATGGATTTAAACCAATAAGCATTGTTCTCAAAATCCCAGTATAACCAAACTTACTGCGTCATATGCCGAATTTTGTTAACTCTTTTGATAAGTTTGATGAACTTCACTGTGCAAACAATTCTACTACTGTGATTTAAAGCCACCAAACCAATTACTTTCAGTTTCGTGTTCAAATGAGATAAAAATAAACTTCTGTCATGTAATATTATTCCCGAAACATTAGTGTCATTTTAATAGATCTGTCCTTGGTTCATAAATCGAAATACTGAAATTGAATTATCAACCATATATCCTTACTCTTAGCGGTTGTCCGATCAAGTTCGTATGACATTTCAACATATCCATATATAGTATTCAAGTCATTTACGTCCGGTAAATGTTCGCGTACACCTTTATTTTTGCATCATTTCCTGTGATTCTTGTTAGCTTCCTTATTTTCCCTTATAAACTAAATAAAATTTGATCGATAAAATATTCCAACCGAAAATTATGTGACACAATTTTACATGAATGGTCTGACCGGTACAGTTATGTACTATCTGCCTTGCAAAAATGGTATATGAGTCATACAAGGAATGATAAACCTATAAGACTTTGATACTTTTTCTTCCATTCACGTCGCATCATTTCATCATATCGTTTTTTTTACACTAATTTATCTTTCTTCAGAGTTTAACATTCCCAACTGTGTTTGACTATGATATTTATCGTTATTAATCAATTTCTTTTTTGCTTAAAATAACCTTGAATTGAGTTTATTTTCATCGCTTGAAAAAAAAATAATAGAATTAAGCTTCATCTCTTAGTTTGAACTTGTCAAGCTGTAAACTGTTAGGCCAAAATTATTGTTTCACTTTTGAGCTTAAGTGCATGTGTCCAAATTTGGGAAATTAAAATATCGAATAATCTAGCAAGGCAAAGTATTCAACTAGATTGTCTTTTCTTTTTTTTTCAATCGAACGTAGAAAAAAAATGTGTACACAGAAGCTGGATAAAAAATATCCGTTCACTTCCATTTTTAAATATATTTGCATATAAATTGGTTTCCTAAAGCTAAACATTTAAACAAGTGGTTTGTTTTACTAACTTTGAAGGATAGTATGAATAAGTGGTGGAAATTAAGCAACGTAGGATAACTTGAGTTTTTTTAAAGGAAAAAATAAAGTAGCAAAGTTTACTGATAATCTAAATGAATGAATATTCCTACTCTGTGATTAACACTTTGATCGTCAGTGTATAAGAAGAATTTAAATGTGGTGGAAAATAACTAATTTTGTCAGTGTGCAACAAGATTTTAGGGCATAAAGTTACTTTCAGTAGTAAAACTGAAGCATAAAATTATATGAATATTGAGCAAAGTCTCATACATCTCTGAATAATCTACATTGTTATTTTTCAAAATGTCAACTAATCTATTTATAATTATTTATAATTATTATTATTTTATTATCTAAGTCTGTTTAAACCAATAGTAACTATTGACAGAGTTCTATTTCACAACTAACCTATCTATTGTTTCATCTAGATTGATGAAAATCTATAGTTTCAATGTGTGCATAACATTGAAGTACGGTTCGGTTTTATTGTATTACATTACGTATTTAACATTGTCGTCTAGTTACCTATTGTAATTTGAACAACATTACCAAAAAAATACAGATGTTATCAATCAATCGAGCTTAAATGACGAAATAACTACAAAAAGTAAATTATATGAATTGTTTTATGACATCAGAATTCAAGTAAAATTATTGAACTGATTTTTTTACTCTGACAATCTTGTAGACATAAGTTGAGTTCGAATAAAGTATTTTATAGAAAATAAAAACGCATTGGACATCGATTTTGACCAAACTTTCGTACAAAACTCTTAAAGTATTCTGAAGAAGACAATATCTATCAACCTTTGGATTTTATTTTGATAGTTTGAGTTTTTTTACTTTGATTCTTGACTCATGGTAAAATGCATTATACTGCTGCTGAATGTACATTTAAATTAATATTTATGTATATATTAAATTGTCCCTAATATCACTGAAATTAAATGTGATATTTACGTTGCTGTCCTAGTTACAACAATGTCATTATTAGAGTCATTCTTTCATGAAACTTTAATAACAATTGTTACAGATAGCACTGTCTAAAAGTTGGCTTTTGTGTGGGTTCACTTAGTTTCATTCTGATTGACACGATTAATGTGTATGGCGTAATTTTTTAGAGTTTACAAAAAAAAATACAATTGTAATGATATAAAGATCAGATTCTGAGAAGTTAGGCAGTAAGTCAGTTTAGTTGTTGGTTAGTGAACATGTTAATAAGTGAGCAAGTAGACTGTATGTATGCACTAACAAGATAGACAGATATCATAACTTGTGTACATGAGAAAGAGATATATGAAAGTTAGTATTGTACATAAAAAGAGAATAATTCAAACAAAATTCTCTGAAAGAAAAGATAAAATAAGAAATCCCACGCAGATACCTATTTCTGTGACAACTAATCCAAAATATGTCTGTAATTCCTCAGTAACACATACGCAAATGGATTACAATAATTGTTTCTATTACTGTTACTACTAGTAATGAAAAGATTAGAAATAATAACTTGCCCTAAACGTCTCGAAATTCTTATACATATATATATATATACATAACACAATTATGCAAAAACTTTCATTGTCTAAATAATATTAGTGAGGCATAGATACATGAATAAATAGACTAACCAATCCTAAATACATGTCTACTTATCGTTTTGCAAAGAGGAAAAATATTCTCCCTGACAAACATACAAACATATAATTAAATACCACTGGGATATAACAAAAACAGTTTCAATTAAATATCTACTTTGGTTATTTACTTCAGTCTATTTCAACATTTTCGATGGAAAATAAATCTTTTTGAAAATAAAAAATCTCACATTATCGACATTATCAGTTGCGAAATCAATATGACCGCCATTATATGCATGTTTCAAGTTGTATCACGAAAAGCTCATTGTTTCAACTGTTTGTTTGTTTTTTTTTAAAGTGACGATTTAAAAACAATCTAGACTAGATTGTGATATATATAGTCTTATTGAAATAATCAAAACGAAACTAAGCTAAGTACTTGTTGAAGATCACAACTGAAACACTCAATTGATTTATATATTTTAGCAGATGATTACAAATGAAACTACAGTGTATTGTTATGTAATAATGTAATTTCATGATTATTCATGTTCCAAGCAGCAATTCCACATGCTTACGTTAGTCTAGAATTAATAACAACAGTAATATACATTGAGCATTTAATGTGTCATTATTGAATAACAAACAAAACGTCCATTGCTGTCAAAATTCAATAATCACACTGTACGTCCAATAATGAAAATAATCGTGATTTGGTGTGGAGAATTTTAGTCAACAGAAGTAAGTTGATAATTTCTAATCATATAAATGTCAGTAAATATACTTAAAATTTTCACTGTGGTAATCAGCATGCAGAGCTAGTTTAGGTAAATATAAAGAAGAACGTCGTTTTTTAATACTTGATATTGTTCTGTGGTCACATGTGATTTAATCATAATTCCAATGACAATAATAATAATAATAATAATTATTATTATTATTATGATTATTATTCATTTTAAATGCGTTTATTTGTTCAATGAAATGTATAGCCATCTTATATCAGTAAGATTTAGATTTTATTCTGAAAACGTCAATTTTCATGACAGATATTTGAGTGCACATTATTTTTGGTAAGATCATCAAGTCCCAGTTGATTAGGTTTTGTGGTACATTCGTTGTCAAGTGAACAGCATGTACTAAAAGCCAGGTTTTAATGTTTCCGTCTGATCAGTTGAATAGTTGAAATTTCATTCTCTCATGCGGATCAACTGAAATTAAGTATCTAAGTAAGATTTTATTTATTCGAACAATTTTGAATATTATCGAAAAATGTGTTTCTAAAAAATTAAATTCACATTTTAAAATTACTAATTGAATAATGTTAAGACATATGCAGCGTTACCTATTGATCAAACGTAAGTATCACATGTTCCCATCTCCTTTTAAACATACTTATTGGACGTTTTGCTTTGTAAACTTTAGTATTGCTTGCCTATATCGCCCATATCATAATTTGTTCATGTCATACTTTGTGTTGATGAAAAACTTTGTTTACAAATAGTATAATTTATAAAGTACACAGTTATACAAAGAGCTGATGAGAGATATCAGTATGCCCATGAGTAATGTATCACCTGAATATCTACTTTGCATCATATGTTGACTAGTAAGCATCTGAGATAAGGTTATCCTTGAAAAACCATGAAGAATGTTTATATTAAGTGAGTACCTTTAATGGAAAATAATTCACATTATTATATGAAACGTTGTATGCTTTTTAAAATAATAGGCCTGCCACATAAAAATGCTATCTCCACATCATAAGACTATTAGTTAGATAGCTACAGTCGATGTAGTTCATCAGATCGATACAAATGTATCATTCAAGTTACAAATAGTATTCTGTCTTACTTGTTTAACATCTTCAAATGTCTCCATCTACACCATGGAAACTATAGGAATTTTATTTGTAGTAAACTTATCCTTTCGATTCAAAAATCATTTGTAACATCTCTCCTCTTAGACCACCTAACTAATTGCCAACTTATTTATTAATTTTTCATTTTTACTATTCCCTTATTATTTCTAATAACTAGCTGGTTGTTTATGTAAGAAAAATTTTCCTACAACTGAATCCTTCTCTTATAAATACTAACTGGACACGACTAGGACAAATAGGAGAGAAAATAGTTTTCTAAAATTATTTTCTTTTGCTGAATATTTTTTTTTTGACTTTTTAAGGCACAACTCTACGATAGCTTTCGCCAAATTCTGAAAGATCTTTAGAAAACTCATACTTTAGCTTTCGACACTCTATTAATCCGATTATTCTATATGAACGTAAACAGTCTGTCTGGCTTTCACGTAGTTCCGGGTGCAAAATTTAGTCTGTTATTGAATTTGTTTTTTGTAAAAGCCACCTTTAAATGTACCACTGTGTAAATCGGTTGGTGACACAGTGAATTCGCAGCTGGCTAAATACCAATTCAGTAAGTTGTATACAAAAAAGAGATGCATCATAAGACGTCAATAAATCAATATTGATTCTTTCAGTGAAGCCATTTTGTGGAAACCGTCTTTTTTTTTTATTGATTCACTTATTTCTTTATAAAATATCTAAACAAAAGTTGTATATATGATGCAGTGAAATTACATTTATATATCTTTACTTCAAGCGGTTCTTAAAAAAATTAACTACTGTCGCGAATTACAACTTAAAATCACACTAAATATTCAAGAAAAAATTGGAAGGCTTTTAATGAAAAGAGTTCCAATGATACAAAGAGATTTTATTCAGTGAAAACATTTTATCCTAACTATACAAATTTATTAAATGGTCTGCATATTATCATGGCTGAATAAGTAAAAAGATACGAATAATGATAACCACAGTGATTAGTTAAAAGCCTACAAAATGCGAATGAAACTGTTAACAGGAATGTGGATGAGTATCCATATTTTTTTATCCGTCTGATTTGTTGAATCAATTGGCTGCGATAACTAATTAGTCTTTCTTGGTTTTCGACGGAATAAGAATGGACAAGTAACTTTCTTTTTTACGTAACAACTTAGTATACCCAAGTCGATAGCTATAAAAATAAAACACATGCAGTTAATTGAATGATATCAGGTGAATAATTAGAAGAGTTTATCTCTCAATTTAAATAATTTTCATTGTTCAACAAATGAACGCTTATAGATTGTTTGAGTTCAAGTTTTCTAACTGTAAAGAGTGATGCTTTGAAACTCGTCAATGAACTAATACATTAGCTTAACATATACACGTACGAATGTAGGATTTAAAGAGTTTGCCCTTATTACTAACATCCAAGATGGAATGATTTTAGAACACATAGTAAGTAAGTAAGTAATCTTGTCAAGTTTACGTATTCAATAGTTTATACTGTAATTTTTTATTGAAACAAGTTAATGAATTCATTTTACACATTTGAAATCATCAAGCAGTCATTGTTAGACCAGCATTAGCAACCTGGAAACACTGGACTCCCGTTTCGTCCTGGTTTGGGATTCATCAGCAGTGTGCATCCACGACTCCTGCACCTCACAGGATTCGAACGCCGAACTTTCGGTCTAGTGTGCCAACGCCTGAACTCTGGACCTCTAGATCCAAACTACTGATGAGTCCCATACCAGGAAGAAACGGCCTTCCAGTGCTTCCAAATTTCTAATTTCGGTCTAACAATAATTGATTGATAATTTCAAATTCTAATTGAAGAATTCATTATAGTATTTCTTTTTGTGATAACATCAAGTTATTTGATAAAACACTAGTTACCCAAGTTGAATTAGCATTGTTTATGGAATGATTAATCAATTATTCATGTACAAAATATAGCCATATGGCAATTTCATTTTGTATTTATAATGCTAAAATAATTTTCTTTTTTTCTGAAAATAATTTCTCAGCCTATTCACTTCTAAGCAATTCTATTGGCTAAATCAATCAGTTTCAGCATAAAATAAGTGAATAAATTTTCTATTGAGATCCACATTGTTATGAACTCTTAGGTTACAATGAAAAATTAAAAATAATACTAGTTCATTTTTAACGCACGCTGTTCATATTAAATAATAATTCTAGAGAGAGACGCTGTCAAATTTGTGAGAAAAAGAAAAGAGAATCTTTAAATCAAAGTACTTTTATAGTTTTAAATGACCTGATTTTTGAAAGAAAATTGTAACAAGATAAAATTTCATGGTTTATTCACCAGATTTACGTCAGACCAAAACAAAGTAGAATAATCTTATAACTAGTAAGCAATAGAAAATGTAATTACTTTATGAGATATCACAGAGGCAAATAAAATGAATTCTATGAACTTCAACGGTTGAAAGTAGGAAACCGAGCGTCTACAACTAATGGACGTAAAGGTGTACAAGAGAAAAACTCCTGACACAAAACAATAAATAGTAAATAAGATGGCATTTAGTCAGGAATTAGATCGTTTTTTTTCTAATCTCGTTCCTCGAGTTGGGAAACATGTATTGTAGCTAAGATGAAAATTTAACACTGCTGCTTCGTTCTAGCCTAGACATTATAGAAAGATGCAGTAGTATCTTAGTAATATTGTACATGTCAAGACTCAAACTAAGTAAATCTCGTTTCAAACGCTAACATTTGAATGCAACTACATTCATTTAGGTAGTTCGAAAAATCTATGTTGTGCATTACACTTTTGGCTGCAATTCGTACATTTAAAAACGTACTACAAAATGGCTTAATCAAGGTAATTCACTAAAAATACGCATATGCTAATAAAAACTGGTACAAAGTATTCTTTTGAAATTTTTATCTCAGTTTGCAAGAGAACAGTGAGAAAACTCAGCAAATCTTGGAATTTTTATTTGCATAGAAATGTGATTAAATGTATTTAAACTGACTTATTTATTTGTAAGCTGGGTACTATTCACAGAAAACCTGACGAGAAGCAAATTTGTAAAATTATACGATGATGCCTTGATACACCTAATGTCAACAACTAAGTATAGCTTTAGTATAATGTTTTGATATATTTCATTTGACAGACAATTTCTAGATGAATATTAACTTTGTTAACATAGGTTAACTAAGCATTTACTTTGGACCTATGGAGACATATTTCTGGATGTTAATCCTGAACGATGATTTTTTGACGTGGTTCCTATTTCGGAATAGTATCAGCTGCACAAATTATTAGGGCCGGTACTTGTAATTATTTAATGATCCATTATTTGAGTTTGAACTAGGTCTAACATTGAACGGTTGCACAATGCTTCTCATGTGAAACAACAATCTGATAAAACTAGCCTAAATATATTGATTTGAAATATTGTTCAAAAATCAACAGCACTCAATGTGTTCTCTTACGAGTGAGTTCACCAAGCTTGGCAAGAATTACATTCTGCATAGACCACTATAGACATAAAGAGTATCGAAACTAAATAATACTAACTGATTAAAACATCAAAATCAAATTAAGCAAATTTGAACATGAGAGTAGTGAATCAGTAAAAAAAAATATTAACCATTTACTAAAAAGTCTCTGTAAATAATCAAGAGTTTGTATTCCTAACAGACTATTAATTCCACAAATCGAGGCACTGACGCCTGACCATTTCTATAGATGATTACAATTACCTAATCTATATTATTCCGTTAACTCATTTTAATATAGATGGACAATAATTTTCATCTAATGTTATCAGATAGGTGGAGAATATTTAATCTGTTCTACCATGGTTGCAAGTGCTTGAGAAGCAACAGTAGCTCTGTTGGAATAACAAACAGATAATAACTT